CTTGTGAGATTTGTTCCATTATGTACTACACCCTCACACACACCCATGAATACCAAAACCCAAACATGTTCAAGTCCCTTATTAGATGGCATAGTAATTGCATCTAACCCGCTAACACCTGCCCATACACCTGGAGTCATCTCTACAGTATGTATAATACCTAAAACATTGTAAATACTATGCAGTTGCTATATTATATCATTAGAAAATAATGACAAGAAAAAAGTCTGGATATATTCGGTGTAGATACATTTTCCCTAATTTCGAAACTTTTTTTCGATTATGTGTATGCCTGGATATGTGCATGTGAATTCAGGTGCCCTCAGAAGCCAGAAGAGGGTGCTAGATTCCCCTGGAGCTGGAGTTACAGGTGGTGGTGAGCTGCCAGATGTAGATACAGGGAACCAAACTCAGGTCCTTGGCAAGAGCAGCAAGTGCTCTTCTCCCTTCCGAGCATACCTCTAATTCTTCCCAAGTTCCTCTCTCTTTCTCTCCAGAAGTCCCGCCTATTCTCTCCTGCTTAGCTATTGGTCACTCAGCTCTTTACTAAACCAATCAGAAGGCACCTTAAGCAGAGACACATCTTCACAGTGTACAAAAAGATTATCCCACAAGATATTGGGAACCAGACTCAGGTCCCCTGCAAGAGCAGCAAGTGCTCTTAACTGATGAGCCTTCTCTACAGCCTAAATGTTTTTGATCCTTGCCTGATTAAACCCATGGATGTAGAACTTATGGAAATAGAGGGCTGGTGGTGCTACAATTATTCATTCTCTGGTTGCTAGATATCAAGTTGTTTCCAGCTTTTGACTTTTGTGGGTAAAGGTGCAGTGTGTGTGTGTGTGTGTGTGTGTGTGTGTGTGTGTGTGTATTAGTCTTATTCTGGATATGTTTTTGTTTGTCCTGGACAAATCCCTAGGAATAGAATTGCTAAGGTGGTGTAGTTTGTTTAATTTATTAGACAATGTCTTCCATGGTTAGTCATTACTATCAACCTGACTAGGTTTAGAATTATTTAGGAGACAGAGGCACTTGTCAAGGTGTGTCTGTGAGGGCATTTCTAGAGAGTTAACTGATGGAAGAGGACACACTCTGTAGGTGGCGGGTGCCATCCCATCTTCTGGAGGCCTGGATGGAATGAAGGGGTGTGGGGAGAAAGTCAGCAGGGCACCACATTCGGCTCCACACAGACCACCATGCTGTGCGCAGCTCTGTCCTGCCATGCCTTCCTTGCCACGAGGAACCAAACTCTGTGAAGCTATAAACAAGATAAGTCTTTCCTTTGTTAAGTATTCCTTGCCAGGGGTTCTTGTCACAGTGACAAAGAGTAACCAATATGCTATCTAATCACTCCCCCAAAGTGGTCAAACTGTTTACAATCCAACATTTACCGTCAACATTATACATTATCACACCATAATTTATGTTACTCCACATCCTTACAAAACGAAGCTTTATCTTTTGAATCTCAGCTATTCTGGAGGATGTACATACAATGGATACCTCCCACTGCATTTTAAATCTGCAGACTCAAAAAACATACATAGATGATCCATTTACATAAAGTTCTAAAAGTGAAAGATAACCAAAGTGAAAAAATAAAAACAGAGTCTGTCTCTGCATGAGGCAGAAACAAGTAGGAAGAAGCAGGAGAGACGTCCTATATTGCGGTGGGGTATGGCTTACAAGGGAGTATTCGTTTGTCAAATTTGCATTAGGATTCATATATCTTCGTGAGTAGAAATTTTAGCTAAAAGAACAGGAAAATGTATAATAATTGTGTGTGGGAGTGTGTAGATATAGATCAGACAAGAATGGAGGATATTGGCAAGTGTTAAAGCTGGGGGTCAGGCCAGGGTGGTTCATTATACCGTTCTGTTCACTTTGTATGCACTGAGAATTTTCTATAGTAAAAGCTTTTAAACTATAATTGCCAATCCATAATTCCTTTAGACTACAACAAGACTCATGGAGCATTATCTAATATCTTTTATTGGCTGGAGTTTAAAAATGAGAAATTAAGTGGCTGGTGCCATGAATCTGGCTCAATAGTCTCTCTTTGGTTCTTGGATAATTTTCTTTGAAAGTGTTTAGAAATGGAAGAGGTCAGCACTATAATGTCTTGAGCCTGATAACTCGTGATTCTTCAGAAAATAATCAAGGATTTTTTTAATTTGAAAATTCATGAGCACTCAGTGTTAGCAAATTGCATGAGAGTAACTTGATATCCGATTCATTACATTGCCTGATTTAAAAACAAACTTATCTACACACTTAGAAATGAGTAACATGTTATATTTTTGTATGTTTTACCACAAGTTAAAGCATAAGTAAGTGCTGGAGAAGAGGCTTCCTGGTTAAGAATGTATTGCTCTTGCAGAGGACCAGAGTTCAATTCCCAGCACCCATGTTGGGTGTCTTACAACTGCCTTCAACTCCAGCCCCAGTGGGATCTGATGCTTTGGTTTCTACAGATACCTGCATTCACATGTATATACCCACACCCCTCACCTACCCATACCCCCAACCCACACATACCCCCCACCCACACCCCTCACCT